GGGAGGGAGGGAGGGAGGGAAAGTGAAGGAAGTGTGAAACTCTCCAAATGCAGTTCTGACACAGGAAGCTGGGGCCGCACACTCACCGCAGCCCCGGCCGGGGTGTGAATGTGCACGATGCACCTCGCGTCTGGGCGTGCTGCATAGATTGCAGAATGCAAGGTGAAGCCAGCCTGGTTGACGCCCAGGTTAGTGCTTCCACGATCCACAACATCTCCTTGAAGATTGATCTTAACCTGAACATAAACAAAAATTAGAAGGGCTTAACTAAAAGCCAAGGTCAAAGTGTTTGTAACTTCTTTCAGAGGTTCTTCTCTAAATAATCACAATGTCCTCTGTTTGACTTTATGCTCCCATTTCTTTCTTTCTTTTTTTGGGGGGGAGGGATCCGGTCGTGGGGCCTGAACTCTGGGCCTTGGCGCTGTCCCTCAGCTCTTCAGCTCAAGGCTAACGCTCTACCACTTGAGCCACAGTGCCACTTCTGGCTCTTTTTTCATTTTGCTTATGTGGTGCTGAGGAATCGAACCCAGGGCCTCAGGCATGCAAGGCAAGCGCTCTACCACTGAGCCACCTTCCCAGCCCCAATGTCCATCTTTTTTTTTTGGGTCCAGTCGTGGGGCCTGAACTCTGGGCCTGGGCGCTGTCCCTGAGCTCTTCAGCTCAAGGCTAACGCTCTACCACTTGAGCCACAGTGCCACTTGTGGCTTTTTTCTTTTTGCTTATGTGGTGCTGAGGAATCGAACCGAGGGCCTCAGGCATGCAAGGCAAGCGCTCTGCCACTGAGCCACCTTCCCAGCCCCTGTGCTCCCATTTCTTGAATCTCGACACAGTCTCACACAGCTGGCTGTGCGCCCGTGTCTTGGATGTCATGTGATCCATGCAGATGGCTGCCAAGGAGAAGGCGTTCTCACCAAGCTGGAGGCCGCCACTTCGCTGTAGAGAAGCCCAAAAGGCACAATGAGGAAGTGTTCCTGCTCTGTGTTCACTCTGGCCTGTGGGGAAAATGACTTGAGTTAGCCCAAAGGTCCAACTGGAGTTACCTGGGTCTCATTCAGGCTACTAATTCCTGGGTGAACCCCACAAGGAGGTACATGAACACAGAGCCTGTCACTAAGCTAAGAGGCACTGGGACGTTACGTTCTTATAGTGTATAAGCAAATTAACTATTAAGTACATTGGCTATTAGTCATATTAGTGCAAACTGACTTTACAGAGAACCAACAGGTCAACATTACTGACCTCTGAGGTCAAATGATGTTACTCCTCAGGGAAGTAACATGGACAGAAGAAAATAACATTTCAGAAAAGTTTACCTTGCAGGACCTGTGCCTACGGACCAGTCCTGTTCTCCTGTCTCTGCCTATGTGTCCACGGCACCCGCTGCGTGGAGGGGAGACCCTCCCCCTGCCTGTCCACTGCACCTGCCGCGTGGAGGGGAGACCCTCCCCCCGCCTGTCCACTGCACCCTCTGCGTGGAGACCCTCCCCCCGCCTGTCCACTGCACCCTCTGCGTGGAGACCCTCCCCCCGCCTGTCCACTGCACCCGCTGCGTGGAGACCCTCCCCCCGCCTGCCCACTGCACCCTCTGTGTGGAGACCCTCCCTGTCCACTGCACCCTCTGTGTGGAGACCCTCCCCCCGCCTGTCCACTGCACCCTCTGTGTGGAGACCCTCCCCCCGCCTGTCCACTGCACCCTCTGTGTGGAGACCCTCCGCCCGCCTGTCCACTGCACCCTCTGCGTGGAGACCCTCCCCCCGCCTGTCCACTGCACCCGCTGCGTGGAGACCCTCCCCCCGCCTGTCCACTGCACCTGCCGCGTGGAGACCCTCCCCCCGCCTGTCCACTGCACCCACCGCATGGAGGGGAGACCCTCCAGCCACTTTCAGCCCAATTCTGCAGAGATCACCAACACATTCCCTATGCAGAGTGTGGCCACTGGGAGGCCCAGTCAAGACCTTCATTTAGCCTCCCTTGGAGTGTAGGGTGGAGCTGTGTCTGTACAAGCACCTGCTAGGTTCTGAAGGAGCCAAATCCTGAGACCATCCATCACTACCAAGACAGAAAAGCCAAGCTACCAGCCAGACACTGGAGGGAAGGATGCTCAGGGCTGCCCTGGCTGCACCTCCTCTCCCAAAGGCTTCTCTAAATCAGATGCAATGCTAAAACAAAGATTGACTTCAGACCCCTCTCTCATCTGCCAACATACTGATAGCATTTCTAAATCCTCTTAGGAGGAAATCCCTCTGACCCTCTTTCAAAGAAAGGCAGCATGACCTTGTACACTGACCACACTATCACTACACACATCCTATCTCTTCAGTATCCATAAAATCATAAATAATAAACCAAAAGTGGAAATAAAGCCAAAAAATCTCTCTCCCTCTTCCTTTCTCCCTCTCCCTCTCTGTCGGTTGTAAGGCTTGAACTCAGGGTCTGGGTGGTGTCCCTGAGCCTCTCTGTGCTCAAGTCCATCACCCTACCACTTGAGCCATAGCAATACTTCTGGTTTTTTGAGTGGTTAATTGGAGATAAGAGTCTCACAAGAGACTTTTCTTCCTGGGCTGGCTTTGAACCAGATCTCAACCTTCTAAGTAGCTAGGACTACAGGCATAAGCCACTGGAACTCGGCTTTGAAATACTTCTAAAAGTTATTTTTCCTCAAAGATTCTCTAGTTCTAGTTCATAAGATCTAAGAAGCATTTTGAGTATCTTGGGTTTTTTTCTTTTTCGTTATTATAAAGGTGATGTATAGAAGGGTTACTATTTCACAAGTCAGGGTATTTCTTTTTAGTCAGTATTAAGATCCAACTAGAACACTCAGAGAAAAAAGTAAACACTTAACGAACATTCCAATTCTGCCAATTCCTAAATGATTGCGGGGGGAGGGGGGAGGCGGGAGGGGAGATGAGGTTTAAATGAGTCAAAGTTATTCAAGTAAAATCCATACAGGGCTAGTGGTAAACAGCATTTTCAAATTCACCAAGAATATGAAGGAAGCTACAATTAAAACCATGGGTTACATTTCCTTTTTAGCTGTAACATCCTCATGGAACTAATTTTTAGGTAACCATTCACTATCAAATCTCTAGAGTGTTCTACCAGGTAGGAGACACAGAGAGACCAGCAACCTCCCAGCTGGCACCAAGAACAGAGCCAGCACCTAAGCCAGGTTACCTGGACCCACTAACCAAGTACCAAAATGCCCGAATGAGTTCCTGTTGACAATTTGAAAGCAGCGATTTCAGCTCAGGTAAGGCGTTTGCCCTACTGGCTGGCTAGAAGGCTGTTGCCAGCACGTTCTTGGTCCTGCATTGCCTTCGGAAGGATGAAGGCCTCCTGGTAGCCTGACAATAACAAGAGGTGCACACTCCGCACCACCTTGAGTGCACCTCATGCTCAGCATGCATCTGGGAAAGTCACCGCAGCAGCAGACTCAGGTGGGACCTAGACTAATACCCCGGAGCTTTAACAGTCCTCATTTTGGAAAAACATGTGTGAGCACGGAGAGGGTTCAAGCAACACAAGCAGTTTCTAGCACTGTTTGCCTCAGGAGAGACAGGAGTATTAGCAGGATTATAAATTTTCTTTAGCATAAAATATCAATTAGAGACATGAAATAACAAAACAAAACACAACACAATAAGTGATTGGAGCAACTTTACAAAGAAAAAAAAGCTATTATGAAGGGAGGGAAGGAAGGAGGACGACAAGCTAATACCTTAAGAATCTAAAAAGAGGGGCTGGGAAGGTGGCTCAGTGGTAGAGCGCTTGCCTTGCACGCATGAGGCCCTGGGTTCCATTCCTTAGCACCACATAAGCAGAAAAAGCTGGAAGTGGTGCTATGGGTCAAGTGGTAGAGCGCTAGCCTTGAGCTGAAGAGCTGAGGGACAGCGCCCAGGCCCAGAGTTCAGGCAATGGAGTTGCCAGCAAAGAGGACAGCTGTGGCCGCACGCAGGGCGCTGTATCGGCGGCGAGACACAGCGTGACTATGAATACCAGTCACGGCTCCCATACTTTCTGTGCCACGATGAAGTCATTCTTCTCAGAGAAAACCAAGAGGTTTTTTGTTTTGTTTTGTGCCTAATACTGGTGATTAAACTCAGGGTCTCATGCATGCTAAGCAAAGACTCTTTTATCACTGAGTTACACGCCCAAGCCATTAAAAAAAATTTTTTAAGTTTCTTTGGGCTGGGTGCCAGTAGCTCACAACTATAATCCTAAGTACTTAGGAGGCTAAGATCTGAGGACTGAGGTTCGAAGCCAGCTTTGGCATGAAAGTTTGTGAGAATCTTATCTCCAATTAAGCACCAAAAAAGCCAGCAGTGGAGCTGTGGCTCAAGTAGTAGAGGCTAGTCTTGAGCAAAAGAGCTCAGACCCTAAATTCAGGCCCTAAATTCAAGCCCCAGGACCAGCACACACACATACACGTGCATGTGCACACAGGCACACACATTACTTTGAGATGGTATCTTCCTACAATTACTCAGATTGGCCTTGAAGTTGCAGTCCCCTGCCTCCTGGCTCAGCCTCCTGAGTAGCCAGGATTATAAAGCATGCACACTGCATCTGCAGATGTTTCAAGCACAGCAGTGCAGTCTATCAACACCCTTGCAAGAGAAGCCTGCCCTGTAGCCGGTGTGCAGGGCTAAGGTTGTAAGTCTACAACCCCTGGGGTTGTAAATCTTTGCAGAAAGTCCACAGGTTTTGTTGTGAGGCTTACTGCAGAAGGATCTGTTGCTCAAACACAGGGAGGGGTAGCACAGGATTGGCAAAAGTTGGAATGGAAGGATGGGCCATGAAAGCAAGGTAGACCAAGGACAGCAAATAACGCACTACGGGTTGGGATGTGGGAGGGACCATCTACAAGCCAGGACCCGAGCTTCGCACTAACAGACCCATTAGATGCCTGGTACAGAGAAAGCAGATACCCAATAATGTTCACTACAGGAATGAATCGAAGAAAAGAGAGGTCCTGATATTACACAAAAAATGGTTTAATCTGCAGAAGACTTTGGTCAGTCCAGAAGGAAAGCTTTCTACTCTTAGAACTGCCAAACTGGGGGCTGGGAAGGTGGCTCAGTGGTAGAGTGCTTGCCTTGCATGCATGAGGCCCTGGGTTCGATTCCTAAGCACCACATAAGCAAAAAGAAAAAAGCTGGAAGTGGCGCTGTGGCTCCAGTGGTAGAGCGCTAGCCTTGAGCTGAAGAGCTGAGGGACAGCACCCAGGCTCAGAGTTCAGGCCCCATGACCGGACCCAAAAAAAAAAAAAGAACTGCCAAACTGAGGGCTGAGAATGTGGCTTAGTGGTAGAGTGCTTACCTAGCATGCATGAAGCCCTGGGTTTGATTCCTCAGTACCACATAAAGAAAAAAAGCTGAAGTGGCGCTGTGGCTCAAGTGGTAGAGTGCTAGCTTTGAGCAAGAAAAGCTCAGGGACAGTGCTCAGGCCTGAATTCAAGCCCCAGGACTGGCGAAAAAAAAAAAAAAAAACCTGCCAAGTTGGGAGCTAGTGGCTGACACCTGTAATCCTAGCTACACAGGAGACTGAGATCTGAGGGTTGTGGTTCAAGGCCACAAAACTCCCCATTAGACCCTTATCTCCAATTAACCACTCAATATCCAGAGATGGTGCTGTGGCACAAGTGATAGAGTGCTAGCCTTGAGGCTCAGGGACAGCACCCAGGCCCTGAGTTCAAGCCTCACAACTGAGAGAAAACAAATAAACCAAAACTGCCTGTAACTCAGCGTATACCCGCTGGTTAGATTAGAATGCAAAAAGTAAGTTTTGTTTTGTTTTTAATCTTTTGTCAGGTTAGGGCTTGAACTCGGAGCTTCAATGCTGTCCCTGAGCCTCTTTGTGCTCAAGGCTAGAGCTCTACCACTATGAGCCACAGCATCACTTACGGTTTCTGAGTGGTTAATTGGAGATAAGAGTCTCATAAGGGGGGCTGGGAAGGTGGCTCAGTGGTAGAGCGCTTGCCTTGCATGCCTGAGGCCCTGGGTTCAATTCCCCAGCACCACATAAGCAAAAAGAAAAAAAGACAGAAGTGGCACTGTGGCTCAAGTGGTAGAGCACTAGCCTTGAGCTGAAGAGCTGAGGGACAAAGCCCAGGCCCAGAGTTCAGGCCTCATGACCGGACCCCCCCCACCAAAAAAAAGAGTCTCATAAGGACTTTTCTGCCAGGGCTGGCTTTGAACCCCAATCCTCAGATGTCAGCCTCCTGAGTAGCTCAGATTACAGGTGTGAACCACCAGCACCCAGCTAAGAAAGAAGTTTTAAAGAACTACTTTACATATGAAGGCACAAGGATTATGAGTTGAGGCCAGTACAAGCAAGGGTAGTAGTAAGACCTTGTCTCAAAAACAAAAGGGCTTCAGGGATAGCTCAAGTGGTACTTATCTAGTGTAGACCCAATCCTCAATACCTCAAAAATATTTTTATAAATTGTGGAGTGTAGTGGTGCTCACCTCTAATCCCAGCAGCCTGGGAGGCAGAGATCAGAAGGATCAAAATTTGAGGCAAGCCTTAGTAAAACAGTAGCAAGACCTCTACCTCAGCACATAAGCTGACATGAGTCCAGTTATGTGAAACTCTTAAGTAGAAGGATTTCAATCCAAGGGTGGCCCTGGACAAAATTATAAGGCCCCAACCAAAAAAAACTGACTAAAGCAAAAAAGGGCTGAAGGCAGGGCTCAGGTGCTTATAAGCCCCAAGCTCTTAATTCAAACTCATTACGGCCGAAACACACACACACACACACACACACACATTCACACTCACACTCATGCATGCATGTTACTGTTCTGATAAGCTAGTACTTGCCAACTCCTCCATTCTTATTTTCTGTAGCAAGACATCTAAGAAGGCTTTCTAAGACTCACTCACACTAGGCCCACATCCCTTCTTCAGAACAAAGGAGCTGGTCCTAGATAAGTAACAGTTCACTCATCCCTCAGTTACTACTCACTGTGATGTGATTGTAGATAAGCTGAGACCACCCGAAGAGATCAGCCAGTCTATAAAATGCTGCCAGCTTGCACCGCAGTAATTTTTCTCCTTTGTCGTATGCAATGGAGTCAGACCCTCTGAGGTCATTCACAGGAGTCACCATACCAAGACCTGAAATCAAAACAAAATGCAAATACTAACACTCCTTGTCCAATGCAGATCAAATAATGGTTCTAAGGAAGTTATTTTCCATAGTAGACCATAAAGTCTCAATGATGCTCTTCAGTATTAATGTATAACTTAGAAATAAGTAGCAAAGGTCTGGGAAGATGGCTCCATGGTACAGCGCTTGCCTTACATGCCTGAGGCCCTGGGTTCGATTCCTCAGCACCACATAAGCAAAAAGAAAAAAGCCGGAAGTGGCGCTGTGGCTCAAGTGGTAGAGCCTTGAGCTGAAGAGCTGAGGGACAGTGCCCAGGCCCAGACCAGACCCCCCCAAAAAAAATTTAATTATATTCTTCATTTCTTTTTTTTTCTTTTTGCTTATGTGGTGCTGAGGAATCGAACCCAGGGCCTCAGACATGCAAGGCAAGCACTCTAGCACTGAGCCAATTTCCCAGCCCCTAATTAAAGATTCTTTTTTTTTTTTGGTCAGTCATGGGGCTTGAACTCTGGGCCTGGGCGCTGTCCCTCAGCTCTTCAGCTCAAGGCGAGCGCTCTACCACTTGAGCTACAGCGCCACTTCTGGTTTTCTGGTGGTTTATTGGAGATAGGAGTCTCACAGTCGCTCCTGCCCGGGCTGGCTTTGAACCGCGATCCTCAGATCTCAGCCTCCTGAGTAGCAAGGATTACAGGCGTGAGCACCAGCGCCCGGCTAATTAAAGATTCTTGATTACATTAAAAAAAAAACTTTGAGAAGGTATACAAGATTTAAAATAGTTTTCAAAATAAATCTCTAGCTATATTTGCCTAGGAAAGAGGGTAGACAGAAAAAAAACCACTGCCAAGATGTGGAAAGGGAACCACAATATGCCATGAAGCACTAACACATCAGCAGAGGGATGATAGGGAAATGGTAGCAGCAAATTCTTGAACTGAGATGAAATGCAGTCTTTGAAAGATACAACCTACCAAAGCTCACTACAGAAGAAACAAATACCCTGAACAGCCCTATTTCTATTACCCTGAATTTGTAGTTTCCATAAAGAAAACTCTAGGTCCAAATGGTACTGTGAATTCAAACATTTAAGGAAAAAATAACACTAGTTCTATACAAATTCTTCAAGATACTCACTACTGTGTGAGGTCAGCATTGCCTTGCTACCAAAACCACACAAAGTCATTATAAGATATAAAAAAAGCCAAAAACAGATCAATGCTTCTCATGAACATAGATTAAAAAGTACTTACTTAATGAGCTGCACGCTGGTGGGTCACACCTCTAATCCTAGCTACTCAGCAAGCTAAGATATGCAGATCACAATTTGAAGCTAGCCTGGACAGAAAAGTCTATGAGACTCTTATTTCCATTAACCACACAAAAAAAGCCAGAAGTGGAGCTGTGACTCAAGTAGTAGAGTGCTAGCCTTGAGCACAAAAGCTCAGGGACAGTGCCCAGGCCAAATTCAAGCCCCAGGCCAGCCAAAAAAAAAAAAAGAAAGAAAACCAGGAACATCATGACTCAAGGCCTCAGCAAGCAAGAGGCTTGTCAGACGCCATTTCAGCAAGCATCTGTGCATGGTTAGCATGCATCTCAGCATCTCAGCTATGGCATAAAGCACAAATGGGAGGCCACAGTCCACACCAGCCCAGGCAATAAGACAGTATTTCAAAATAACCAGAACAAAAATGGTTGGAGGTATGGCTCAAGCTCAGGGTTAAAACCCCAGAATAGGGAAAAAGAAAGAGAAAAAAGAAAAAAGTTAGCGAATAATCTTGTATGTCTATATGTCTTTCAAATATTAAAAAATCAGTAATATCAGCTGGGCACTGATGGCTCATGCCTATCATCCTAGCTACTCAGGAGGCTGAGATCTGTGGATCACAGTTCAAAGCCAGCCCGGGCAAGAAGGTCTGCCAGACTCTTATCTCCAATTAACCACCAGAAAACCAGAAGTGGTGCTGTGGCTCCAATGGTAAAGCACTCACCTTGAACTGAAGAGCTCAGGGACACTGCCCAGGCCCAGAGTTTAAACCCCATGACCAAAAAAAAAAAAAAACCCTATGTGACTATGAATACCTAAACTAGTGGCCATTAGATTCCAGGAAGGAAATCTCACCTAGCAATTAAATGTGATTCTTCAAAACGCAGTGAGCCAGTGGCTCATGCCTGTAATCCTAGCTACTCAGGAGGCTGAGATCAAAGTGGTAGAGCACTAGCCTTGAACTAAAGCGTTCAGGGACAGCTCCCAGGCCCTGAGTTCAAGCCCTACAACCAAACAAAGATAGACAGACAGACAGACAAGACAAGAAAGAAAGAGAGAGAGAGAGAAAGAAAGAGAAAGAGAGAAAGAAAGAAAGAAAGAAAGAGAGAAGAAAAAAGAAATTAAGAATGAAAAGATATCATTTGCAGGAAAATGGATGAAACTGAAGATTATCTGAAGATGAAATCACAAGTCTTCACTCAAATGAAGACTAAACATAGAAATGATAGTAAGACATGACTATAAAGAAGTGATGGGTAACCAGTAGAAATAGGTAGGGGAGAAGGGGTGACGTCAATACAGTAAAAATACAGTATGCAAGTCTAAGAAAACGGCAAACAAAACCTTCTAACAAGTGTTTCAATATGAGAGGGAGAAGAAATAAGGTTAGGAAAGAACAATATGCAGGGGCTAGAGACATGGCTCAAGTCTATGTTTAACAACCCCAGCACCACCAAAAATGAAAGTACTGGTGGGTTGTATTTGATTAAAGTACATTATATGCACTATATAATTGTCATAATAAAACCCTTTTGTACCATTAATTTACATTAAGGGCCATCGATAGTCAAGACTTTTCAAATTTACAGCCTTTCACTATGACTAAATAGTAAATATTATGTATTACATAATTAGATGCTCATCTAGTTCCAAGAAAAGCTTCAGAATGCTACCTAGAATTTGACAGAGCATATACAAACATCAAGGACTGACAGATTGGCTCAGTTGGTAGAACTGGAAGGGCAGAATGAAGAGCTCCTTACTCATGTTTAAGGCAGCCATCCCTCCCTGTGGGGCTGCTGGGTAGACATTCGGTACACTGGTGGTCATGAAGTCTGCAATCTGCTGTAACGCCAATAGACCTGTGGGGTTCTTCCCCTTCTTAAATTGTTCTTGTATCATTGACTCCAGTTCTTCACAGAAAGCCTAAAATGCACATTAAAACACTTTTTTACCAAGTTTTTGTCTTTTCATGCAGTGCCAGAACAGCAGATATCATCCTCAGACATGACTAATAGGAATATAAACTTATACAATCTTTTCTGCCAAGTGACTTTGTAAGAGCTTAAAGATCTGAATAGAAATTCTATTATAAGGAAAGAATAGGGATATGCTCAAATTTTTATTTATAATGATGCTCACTTTAATATTACTGATACAAAAGTAAACAGTCTACATTTCAAAGAATAGAGAGCTGAACAGATATGCTGAAAATTCTATGCACACATCAACATAAAAAACTAAATAAAGCCAGGCACTGGGGGCTCAAACCTATAATCCTAGCTACTCAAAAGGCTGAGATCTGAGGATCATGGTTCAAAGCCAGCCTGGGCAGGAAAATCAGTGAGACATTTATCTCCAACCAATTAACCACCAGAAAGCTGGAAGTGGTGCTGCGCCTCAAAGTGATAGAGCACTAGCCTTGAACAAAAGAGCTTAGGGACAGCACCCAGACCCTGAGTTCAAGCCCCATGACACACACACACACACACACACACACACACACACACACACACACGAATTAAATGGCATAAAATAGCTCATGGAACTGAGTAGCACACACAAATTAAATGGCATAAAATGGCTCATGGAACTGAGTAACACACACACACACACACACGAATTAAATGGCATAAAATGGCTCATGGAACTGAATACCAGTAGCCTGCTGCTATAATTCTAGCTATTCAGGAGGGTGAGATATGAGGACAGAAGTTCAGAACCAGCCAGGGCAAACAAATTCTTCCAACTCTTACCTCTAATCAAACCAGCAAAGCTAGAACTGGGGCATGGTTCAAATGTTAAGAGTCAGCTATGAATGAAAAGGCCGAGTGAGAGCTCAAGGTCCTGGTCCCTGAGTTCACGCCACAGTAGTGAACATACATACAGAGGTTATAAACTAACATAGTCATGTTTTGTATTTGTAAATGGAAATCTACACATAGAGTTGGAGGCATGGCTCAAGCGACAGAGGGCTGGCCTACTAGCAAGCATGGTATGGAACCCAAGTTAAATTCCTAGTACCACCAAAATAGTGCCTCATAAACACAGGAAAAGGCTAAAAGTAAATTAATTCTCTGTGATAAAATTAATAGGTTTCATGTTCTATTTTGTGCTTTCCAATATTTTCTCCAAAATGCTTATATTTATTGATTGATTGATTTTTCGGTCAGTCATAGGGCTTGAACTCTGGGCCTGGGTGCTGTCTCTCAGCATTTTAGCTCAAGGCTAACGCTCTACCACTTAAGCCACAGAGCCACTTCCGGTTTATTGGAGAGAAGAGTCTCACAGACTTTCCTGCCCAGGCTGTCTTTGAACAGCGATCCTCAGATCTCAGCCTCCTGAGTAGCTAGGATTAGAGGTGTGAGCCACTGACACCCAACCCAAAATGCTTGTAAATTTACCTTTTAAAGTAGAAAAAGAGTAGGGGGAAAACAATGGAGGGGGTAACAATGCTCAATAGGAAGTGTACTCATTACCTTGCTCATGTAACTGTAACCTTCCGTATAGTATCTTTACAATAAAAAAAAATTTTTAATGTAAAAAAATAATAAAAAAAATAAAGTAGAAAAAAGAAAGCTGGGCTTGTGGCAAATGCCTATAATCCAGCACTTGGGAGGCTGAAAAAGGAGGATGTCAAAATTCAAGTCAGATGGAATACATAACAAGACCCTACCTCAAAAATCAAAAACTTAAATAATCAAAGTGGGAAAATGAACCCTAATATATATCTTTTGTCAAATAATCCTAATTTAGGCCAAAAGGTCCAATAGATTGCCAGTGAATTTAACATACGTCATTACTGGTTTGTTGGTTTTTGCAGTAGTGGGATTTAGACTGGGGGCAAAAGGCGCTGCCACTTGAGCCATAAAGTCACTGCTGTTAACAGTACAGACAACCTACTGCGGGGCACTGTGGTTCACACCTACAACCCTAGCTGCTCCCAAGGCTGAGATCTGAGGATTGCTATTTGAAGACAGCCTGGGCAGGAAACTCCTTAAGACTCTTATCCAATGAACCACCAAAAAGTAGAGCACTATAGCCTTGTGCAGAAGCTCCAAGACATTGGCCCTGAGTTCAAGCCCCATGACCAACTCCTCCACCTCCCCCCCCCCAAAAAAAATCCACATGTAGTTAGTTACAAGTTCTCTAGGACTTTTAAGAATCCAAAACTTATTTTTTAGTTTTTCATTGCCTAAACTAAGTATACTTGCAGTAAGCACTCAACACGTACTGCTGCTAATTCAGCAGTAGAAAAGACCTATCAGCCCTCTGGGGACCCCAAGTCTACTTATCATGACAAATAATGTCAGAGATCAGTTATGATAGTAAAAAGGAGAAATAAATGCCTCCTAGCCTTTATGATACTAGAATTTTTTTTTTTGGGGGGGGGGTCCGGTCGTGGGGCCTGAACTCTGGGCCTGGGCGCTGTCCCTCAGCTCTTCAGCTCAAGGCTAGCGCTCTACCACTTGAGCCACGGCGCCACTTCCGGCTTTTTTCTTTTTGCTTCTGTGGTGCTGAGGAATCGAACCCAGGGCCTCTGGCATGCAAGGCAAGCGCTCTACCACTGAGCCACCTTCCCAGCCCCGATACTAGAATTTTTTATTATGTGTGAAAACTTGAAGTAAACTGAATTCTTTCAAAAATCACATATATATATATATATATATATATATGAGGCACTGGTTTGCTGTGTTAAGACAAACTGATTAGACCACTCATTCAACAGGGCATAAGACCTGCAGTATCAGAAGAGGGAAGACTATGTCTGGTAAAAGAAAACCCTTTTCTTACAGGACTCTGTAGAATCATGGATACCCTCTTCTTTTGTTCCATCATATTGAAGTCCTGGCGAAGGTCTGGTGCCATGTTCCTCTCCCGCAAGTACTCTGGATTGTTCTCATCCACTCTGTCAAAGTGCCTCTCCTTGTGAGGGGCGGTGGCTGGAGGTGGTGAGGTCACCACTGCAGCCCGAGTATCACCATTCATTGCACAGGCTTTCTAGGCTCCTACAGAATCAAAGTAAAAAGAAAGATTACTTTCCAATCAACGCTCAGTACAGTTCATGATAAGCACACTAGCCTCATAAACTCAATCTTCAATGAGAGGACACCATGGTCTGAACTGTGAGGCTTCTTTGTAGCTTCGGAAGCTGTGGCTTTCAGCCAACCTCCACTCTCCACTAACCAATGGGGCATTTCGTCTTTGGCTGTTGTTATTCAGCAGACCACAAGCGAACAATCTAACTAACGAAGCTGCTGTGTCCTCTGACAATCCAAAGAGAAATTAAGACTACGTTTCATCCTCACACAGAAACCAGCTGAAAGCAGCACGGCTTAGCTGGGCACTGGTGGCTCACACCTGTAACCCTAGCTACTCAGGAGGCTGAGATATGAGGATCACAGTTCAAAGCCAGCCAGGGTAGAGCCCAGAGTCCAGAGTCTCTTATCTCCAATTAACCACCAGCAAACTGGAAGTGGCGCTGTGGCTAAAGTGGTAGAGCGCTTGCCTTGAACTGAAGAGCTCAGGGACAGCGCCCAGGAGAGGAAGAGGAAGGGGGGAGAGGGAGAGGGAGGAGAAGGGGGAGGAGGCGGCAGTGGCAGAGCTTCTTCTTTTTTTAATTGTTCGGTCGTGGGACTGGAACTCAAGACACTGACCCTGAGCTCTTTTGCTCAAGGCTAGCACTGTACCACTCTGAGCCATAGTGCCATTTCCAGGTTTTGAGTGGTTAGTTGGAGATAAGAGCCTCTAGGAGACTTTTTTACCCAGGCTGGCTT